TTATATTATTGTAACCTTCAGTTTTTAAGTATAAAAGCTTCGTTAGACAGAACTGGTTTTTGGAATGTTGGCGGCTGCTGCTAAAAAATTGATTTTTATTCTACCTGTTTTGTTTTTTATCAGCGAAAGTTGTTAGCATTAGTTTTTCAAAATTGAGTATTTGTTTTAAAGGATATTTTTTGGGTCAATTTTTTCACTGTTTCTTTTTTTTTTTTCAGTTCATTTTATTCGTTCTGCTTGTGCCGTTTTTGTTAATACCATTTAAATGGGTTTGTTAATAATACATTTTATAGTGCCTGCATATCGTTTTCTGGAATGTGATCATTTATCGTTCACGAGGTTTTTGGTGGAATTTTTTGCGGAAGTATAATACAAGCGGTCTTCCACGCTATTATTAAAAGTTTGCACGCAGGAGTGTAGAAGAAAGTAAGTTTAGAAAGTCGTAAACTTTGATGATTTAAGCTTTTCCCTTTTTATTCAAAATGTAGGCAATATCACTAATAATAGCACATTTAGCTGATGCTAGTTGCGGGTTTCAGTGGCTGCCATCGTCTTTTCTGCTTTTCAAATTCAAAGCTGTTATGTCAAGTTGCGAGGACTGCACGGTTTGGTCGAGTTGTTAGGAAGGGTAAAACGCAAAACAACACTGCCTATTTTAAATCTCCTGCAGAAAATGCGGAAAGGTGGAGATATCCTCGTCGGTGCGAAAATAATTCCGCAGAAGTGAGACCACTTTCTGACCTCTGGAAAGCCCTTGGATTTACTGTGCTGGTAAAATTTTATTTTTTTTGATGGTTAATTAAAATAGTTGGTTGATTACAATATTTTGTTTTCAAAGTAGTACTAGAGGGTGCATGTGGTGAGTACGTGTATACTGTTTACTGTTTTTAATTAGGTGTAGTATTTGAGAACTGAAGTAAGCAGAAACTGCTACTGGGGTATAAAACGTTTAAATTCTGATATTTAGAGAACAGTAATGCGGAATGTATTTTTTGCTCGGAAGTTGATGTAGATTTTAAGCAACATCTCATTAGCTATTTATTTAGAGGTAGCAGAGAGACCCTTGGAAGTTTTGCCAATTTCATGGATGTTTTAAGGTTATGGAGTGCATGTGAGCTCACCATTTCAGAGTTTAAATATTTCACTCAGAGATGCTGTAGCTCTTCTAAATACATAAATATCAAAAGGAGGTAATGAAAAGGTGCAAAATTGGAAAACATCATTTACTCGAAGCCTGAAACAATTTTCACTTAATCTTCAATTTTTGTGAGAACCATTGACCAGAACAGCGTTATAACACGGCAGACGATATGTCACGGCAATCACTCCAATTTATGCATTTCCTGCTTCGCTGTCGCTCGACTTTCTTTCCCCTCTCAGTAGCAAATCCTTTCCACCTGTCTTTACGGTGTTGACAGACCGTTTTCAATCCTCCGGGTAGTTGTTTAGATGAGTGGTTCAAGTCTTCAAATGGTTTTTAGGAAGTTTAGCACGTCTTAGTACTACCATTTTTTGTGAAGCTGCAGATTTTTAAGTCAAACATTGTGTCATAAATGACTAAAAATAACTCTTGCCAACAATTTTTTTCAGGTAAGCGGTGTAACTTTCTCGATTACTGCAATATCAGATTATGAAAGGACGAAGAGAAATACTAGGCAGTTCTGGAGCGAAACATTTAGAATGCTTCAAGCGCCACCTAGATTTTCTTCCGAGAATGAAGTATGGAGTAGACTTAGTAATGGTCAGAAGTGTGTCCTTTTTCTTCTTGGCTCGAATGCTTTGGTATTTTGCCTTTGGAGAGTTGGATTTTTACGAATGTTTATGTGGCGTTGGTTCACAAACAGCTACGCATCGAGTGAGTCCTTCACCCTTTTGCATGACAATTAAACTTTGTTCAGAGGCTTATGTGCTTTACATTTGTTGAAAAAAGTGTTTGAAAAAGACAGAGGATATTGTTGAGGCGTCCCTAGAAGGACAGGTGTGGAACTAGAAGAAGTTGGGCTTGCGGTTCGAGTATATGTAGATTTTGTTGATTTTTGCGACTGGAATTCTAAATTCTTTTGTTAGGTTAGGAGTTATAGCGAGTCTTGCACTCTGCAGCATTATTATCACGATGTTACCTGAATCGATTTGGCTAATTTGGTAGTTCACTGTACCTCTACAGCGGCTATTGATGGTCTTGGGCGCTTCATTAATCTGATGACTCACAGAACTAAACAACTGAAGACTAGAGTAGTGTGAAGTTCCAAAGATAAGGTGAGACGAACCTTTGGGAAGGAAAAGTAGAAGTTACGATAGGAGTTTAGATATTTTAAAAGAACCTTAGTGTTAATGATACCCACTCCTGGGTTGAAATAATCACAGATTATATGAATACGGAGAGGAATGAGAGCTTAGCAATCATTGGAGCAAACTTTTGATTGGAGGGAAAGGAGGGGAGAGGCTATAGGTCAGAGAAGGTTAAAAAGCAGGTAAAAGGCCAAAGTCAACGCTTTTGAAACTGGTGGGCTTGCTCCATTGACCGGTGAGCAGCATGCGTCTCTTGGGAGGTACTGCTTACTAAGCTGTTTTTACAGTTCCGTAAACGTTTTTGAGTTTAATGCTGGTTTGAGCGTTCTTGAAAAAATTTAGAAATTCAGCACAACTATAAAAACTTATGTACTTTGGTTCCCGCAGGGTGTTATTACAAAAGGAATCTCGAAAAATATTCTACTCTTAAACAGATTGTCAGGGAGTTTCTGCACAAGAATTTTGCCGCGTTCAATTTCACAGTTGGAAGGAAAAAATTTGTAGTACTTCTTATGGAATTGCGCTCAACAAAGTAAATTTATTCATATAAGTCGGGGGAAGAAAGTTATAGCTGCTTTGGTATCTCTCTAGATTAGGAGCCCGTATACTTCTTAACCTTAGGAAGAATCATTTTTTTTTTATCTTAATGTATATACACGTTATTTATGGACTATAAAAGAGGAACCGGAAAGGCAAAAAAAAAAGCAATCAAGAAATTTGGAAATTCGTTCTGTAGTTTAGTTTTGAAATCTACTTTTTTTTTCTATTTTTAAAATAGCTTTTGTTATTCTAAGGCTTAATGAAGGATCTTTCTGTTGAGCGATTTTCTCGCGAGGTGCACACACCAAATTTGGGTGTAGTTTTCTTAGGCAAAACTGAAATTAACGAAAAAGCAAACGAAGAAACTGTAAATGATTTTTTTTTGTGGGAATTAAAGGAAGAGAAATTGGGTCGGGATATATGTTGGTTAAATGACACATACCGCTTACTGGACAGCGTTTTAGACTTTATTTGTAACAAAAAATCTAGTTTTTCTTAAAGCAGTTTTTTATTTCTTTCTTGAGCGGTCAGCTTTTTCAAACGTAATATTGAAAATAACTAATCTTATGTCCTTCAGTTAACTGAGGTTAATTTCAAACGCTGCTTCATAAAAAGAAAAAGATTTTCTGTTGTTTCTAATCAACAATGAACAATCAGTTAGAGGTCATCTAAAGTGGGGATTGTTAGCAGGCCGATAATCTGGATCGGCAATAGAATTTAAAAATTTTTTCAGCAAATTAGTAAGAGTTGCGTAGCACTGCTTAGGTTTTTGCGTTTTAGGACTTACTTTTTATTGCTTTATATAAGCGGTGCTTCTCAAACTTTGCTTGTTCCTGGGTTGTTGAAAGGCTTTGGAATTAAAAATCGTTGTGGTCACTAAAAGCGATTTTTTAACACGTGACATGTATATTTTCGTTATAATCCATATCTCAGTGTATTAGGTTCGCTAATCAGGAATCTTACTTTTTAGAAACCTTTTTCAGGACTAATAAGCTTGATTTAATAATTTTTAGAGTCATTATGTTTGCCAATGATTTTGAGTGCCTTCTCTCACTCACACTGGCTTCACCTGACGTGTAACATGTTCGTCGCTTACTCGTTCTTTGGTGGAACGGTCGACAAATTCCTAGGCATTGATCAGGTAAATACAAGCTTGATTTTCTTATTGGAAGATAAGTAATTGGTTTTGAACGGACTTTACATACTTAGGATGCTGTTAGGCTGTCAGCAAAACAAAATTTTCAAAGTTCACTAGAAGCACCACAATTAGTACTGCTGCTGTTTTGTTTTTCAGTTTGCTGCTTTTTATGTCACAGCAGCCTGTGTTTCTTCCCTGACAAGTCTGGCGCACAAGGCTATACTCAGGTCGCCGGTTAAAGCACTTGGTGCTGTAAGTGTTATAAAGCTTTCGAAATGGCCAGTGATATGCTAATTTAAGAATTTTCTCGAGTTGCATGGATTTGGAAGATTGAGACCTACCTTGGTTATAGGTTTTGAGCGGTTTTTCTGCAAAATTACTGGAAATAATTTACCCGGAAAAGAGTTTATTGCTTAAAATTTGTTTAGAGCGGTGCGATACTTGCAGTATTAGCTTACACCTGTGTGCAGGTCCCTGATGCACGTCTTCAGTTGATTTTCCTTCCTGGCTTCACGTTCTCTGCAGCAACCGGAGTTGTGGGTTTGGTACTTTTTGACCTTTTTGGCCTCCTGTTAGGTTTTCGGTTATTCGACCATGCTGCACATCTTGGTGGCACTTTATTTGGAATGTTAGTATACAAGTTTTTGGCTAAATCTTTCTAAAGTGTTCACTTAACGCATTTGATTAAGAATTTTTACAATTATTTGATTAGAATTGGATTTTTTTTTTTTTTTTGTGATATAT